AGAGACAAAATTAGAGAAAAGGAAACCCCAGGAGATACCACAGGGTCCAGTCCTGACCTATGTCAAAAGTAAAGGCCTCAGTGCAAGATCTGTGATCAACAAAGATGCAAAAATCCTCAACCAAATATTAGCAAACCAAATTCAACCATACATTAAAAGGATCATTCATTACATTCACCATGATCAAGTGGGATTTATTCTAGGGATGCAGGATGGCTCAATATCCACAAATCAATCAACGTATACATCACGTTAACAAAACAAAGGATAAAAATCACATGATCATCTCAATAGATGCAGAAAAAACATTTGACAAAATTCAGCATCTCTTCATGATACACTCTCAACAAAGCGGGCTTGGAGAGAACATACCTCAACATAATAAAGGCTGTATAGGATGAACTCCCACCTAACATCATACTCCAGGGTGAAAAACTGGAAGCTTTTCCTCTAAGATCAGGAACAAGATAAGGATGTTCACTCTTACCCCTTAGTTCAACATAGTATTGGAAGTCCTAGCCTCAGCAATCAGACAAAAATAAATAGAAGGCATCTAAACTGGTAAGGAATAAGTAAAACTGTCACTACTTGCAAATGACATAATATATATAGAAAACCCTGAAGACTCCACCAAAAAACTATAATAAATGAATTCAGTAAAGCTGCAGAACACAAAACTAATGTACAGGAATCTGTTTATAGACATCTGTGTTTCTATGTACTAATAATAATGTAGCAGAAAGAAAAATAAAACAATCCCATTTACAATTGCACCAAAAAGAAAAATAAAACAATCCCATTTACAATTGCACCATGTTTTAAATTTTAAAAACATGTTTATTTACTTATTTTGAGAGAGAGAGCACAAGAGCAGGGAAGGGGCAGAGGGAGAGAGAGAATCCCAAGCAGGGTCTGTGCTGTCAGCACAGAGCCCAATGGGGGCTCGAACCCATGAACCATGAGATCATGAAATGAGCCAAAACCAAGAGCTGGACGCTCAACTGACTAAGCCACCCAGGTGCTCCTGTCGAGGAATAAATTTAACCAAGGAAGTGTATTGAACAAGACTAGCACCATGTTGAACAAATCCACCATGATGACCACTCTGTGAGCTGAAGGCTTCTTCAGTATAGCACTACCCTCACACACATACTCTGAACACACCCTTAAATAGAAGCTTGGGGTATATTGTCCTTGGATCTTCTCTAGAGATAGACTGTGACTCTAAAACAGGCCCTCCCAGTTCTCCCAGCACTACTCCCCAATCTCCAGGGCTATAAAAGCAGGTCTTATGGGAGGTGGGGTTGTAGAGATCTACTCTTCTTGTGGCCACCCACAACACACTTCTCATAAGTTCTTTAAATAAACCATTTGTTAGCAAGCTGGATTCCTCGCTTTTTTCTTCGATCTATGGCTCCTTAGACCTTTGGAGATCATTCTGCATATGCCTCCCTTTCATAAAACAAGGTGAAATACCTATACTCTGCAGCCTATAAGACACCAATGAAAGAAATTAAAGACAATACAAACAAATGGAAAGATATACCACATTCACCAACTGAAAAAATATTGTTTAAATATCCATACCACCCAAAGCAACCTACAGATTCAATGCAATCTCTATCAAAACACCAATAGCATTTTTCACAGAACTAGAACAAATACTAAAATCTGAATAGAGCCACAAAACACCCCAAAAAGCCAAAGCAAACTTGAGAAGGAAGAACAAAGCTGGAAGTAGCACAATCCCAGATTTCAAGATAAACCACAAAGTTGTAGTTAGCCACTATGGTATACTATGTACTGGCACAAAAATAGACAAAAAGATCAATGGAAGAGGATAGAAATCCCAGAAAAAAAAACTCCCACACCTACACGGTAAATTACTCTGTGACAAAGGAGGCATGAATACACAATAGAGAAAAAATAGTCTTTAATAAATAGTGTTGGGAAAATGGACACTACATGCAAAAGAATAAAATGGACCATTTTCGGGGCGCCTGGATGGCTTAGTTGGTTAAGCGTCCGACTTTCGCTTAGGTCATGATCTCGTGGTTCGTGGGGTCGAGCCCCGCGTCGGGCTCTGTGCTGACTGCCAGCTCAGAGCCTGGAGCCTGTTTCAGTCTGTGACTCCCTCTCTCTCTGACCCTCCCCTGCTCACGCTGTTTCTCTCTCTCCTAGAAATAAATAAAACATTAAAAAAATTTTTTTTTTAAAAAAATTAAAAAAAAAGGACCATTTTCTTACATCATACACAAAAAATAAACTCAAAATGGATTAAAGACCTAAATGTGAGACCTGAAACCATAAAGTTCTAGAAGAAAACACAGGCAGTAATCGCTTTGACATCAGCCTTGGTGACATTCTCCTGGAGAGATCTCCTCAGGCAAGGGTGTTGTTGCAAAACAACAGCAAAAATAAACTATCAAGACTACCCTAAAAGAAAAAGCTTTTGCACAGCAAAGGAAATCAACAAAATGAAAAGGCAACCTGCTGAATGGGAGTAGATATTTACAAATGATATTTCTGATAAGGAGTTAATACCCAAAGTACATAAACAACTTTTATAACTCAACACCAAACCACCCTCCCCCCATCAACAAATAATCCAATTAAAAGAGGCAGATGACCTGAACAGATATTTTTCCAAAGAAGACATCCAGATGGCCAACAGACACATGAAAAGATGCTCAACATCACTCATCATCAGGGAAATACAAATCAAAACCACAATGAGGCATCATCTTACACTTCACAGAATCGCTAGAATCAAAAAAGACGAGAACAAGTATTGGCAAGGATGCAGAGAAAAAAGAGCCCTTGTACACTGTTGGTGGGAATGTACATTCATGTAGTCACTGTGGAAGACAGTACAGAGGTTCTTCAAAAAATTAAAAACAGAAATACTATATGATCCAGTAATTCCACTACTCAGCATTTACCCAAAGAAAACAGCACCACTAATTCAGAAAGTATGTACCCCTATGTTTACTGCAGCATTATTTACAACAGCCAAGATACGGAAGCAACCCAAATGTCCATCAATGAGATGAATGGATAAAGATGTACACACACACACACACACACACACACACAGGAATGTTATTGCTAAGCCATAAAAAAGAATGAGACCTTGCCATTCACAACATGGATGGACCTAGAAAGTATTATGCTAAGTGAAATCAGTCAGAGAAAGACAAATAACATGATATCCCTTACATGTGGAAGCTAAAAAAACAAAACAAACCAAAACAAGACACAGAAACAGACTTAAATACAGAGAACAAACTGGTGGTTGCTGGTAGGGGGAGTAGGCAAAATAGGTAAAGCACATTAAGAGACATAAACTTCCAGTTATAAAATAAGTCATGTAGATGAAAAGTATGCCACAGAGAATATGATACTGTAATGATGTATGGTGACAGGTGTAACTATATTTATTGTAGTGAGCACTGTAATTTATATTGAAACTAATGGAACACTGTATGCCAACCTCAAAAAAAGAAAAGGTAAAGGCATTCATTCATTCATTTATTTTCATTCATTCATTCACCCATTCTTCCCTTTCAACTAATACTTTTTTATTTATTTATTTATTTTTTTAAAATGTTTTATTTATTTCTAGGAGAGAGAGAGAGAGACAGCATGAGCAGGGGAGGGTCAGAGAGAGAGGGAGACACAGAATTGGAAACAGGTTCGAGGCTCTGAGCTGGCTGTCAGCACAGAGCCCGACGCTGGGCTCGAACCCATGAACCTTGAGATCATGACCTGAGCGAAAGTCGGACGCTTAACCGACTAAGCCACCCAGGCGCCCCATCAACTAATACTTTTTTAAAGCCTACTGTTGGCCTGTGCTAGGCTCTGGGAATAATACAGATAATCCCTGCCCTAGCAGAGTTTAGAATCTTTTGCAAGGAGACAGAATTATTAACTAGAAATAAATAATAAGACATGGTGATTGATAAGATATAGAAGTGAGGGAAAAGGTCAGTCAGGGATAACATCCAATTTCTGCTTTGGGCGTCTGAGTAGATGATGGAGCCATTTGCTGAGATGGAGAATATTAAAGGTGAAGTAGGGTCAGCTGAGGACAGATGATGATTTTCATTTCGCACATTCACTCATTCAAGAGACATTTATCAACTGAAGATGAGCAGCTAATGTATGAGATATGTTCAGTAGGACCCTAAATACAGGGGTTAGGAAGCGAAGTATCTTCGCAAAAAATGCCATGGTTTACTCTCCTACCATAATACAGGTATACAAATGCTTATATCAAAAGTGAGTATCTATTCTTTTTCAACAGTAATGATTTCCTTAGTATCTACTATGTGAACACAGTGAACAAAACAGACTAAGTCTGTCCTCAATAAGTTCATATCCCAGCAATGCACGCCATAAAGTCCCACACGCATCCTCAAGGTGCCTGCTAAAGCTGTTTTCTGCCCAACATTGCACCCTCACTTCTTCCTCAGGCCACGCCATGCTTCCAGGAAGTCAATGATTACAACTGGACATACTGCTTCAGGAAGGAAACTTTGGTGATCGTAAGGACAGAAATAAGAACACTTCAATTCTGATTCCTGGATCCTTTCCTTAGTCTGTCCCTGGGATGGATTTTGTGCTAAGTGTCATTCTTAATCTATTTTCTCTTTTCTCTCTGTCTCAAGCAGATTAAAAAAAAAGTATAATTTTAAGTAAAACCAGATTATTAGACAGCTATGAAATCATCTTCAAGAGAACCTGGTTACTTGGCCCTGTAGCATGCTCCTAAACTTCCCCTCACAAAAATGTACACACACAACACAGACTCTTGAAAGCTGAGACTCTGGTAAGCAGATGGTATGAAAATGGGAATGCTTAGTGAGAAGTCATATGTAAGTGACAAATAAGTTGACAATTATATACAATGAAACTAAGTGGTCCAGAACTTAAAAGCAAAATTTTGAACTGATTCTCTAAATGGGAAATAGTCCAAGTCCTGTTATGTGAAAACCTACCTCTCACCATTAGGTCCCACTCTGTTAATTAATTTTTCCATGGCTTCCTCGGTCTCCTTCAGTTTTTCTTGCAGTTGAACAAGCTCAAAGTTGGCTGAAAAACAAGCATCAATCTAAGAACTGTAATACATAACTTCCAAAGCTCTTTTCTGAAACTGGCTGGCTGGGACACACTACAATAATCTCACCATTGTGAAATTCAGTACAGAGGCTCAGAGTCCCTCTAACTGATCCAGCTAGGACACAAAGGGTACCACGGTGAGGCCCTGAGATATCAAGGATGTGTGTTTAGGGAGTAATGAACAAATCACACTCTTACACACAGAAACACAGCAGAACCAGCTAAAGAAAATACCTAGGAGTGAAAAAATACCCCTACACAGTCACCCAACAAGAAATGAAAAAGATAAACACAGCCTTTCTAATCCAAGTGATGCTGGAGGGTAAAGTACCAAACCTGCAAGGTACTTCAGAAAAAGATTTAAGACCCCGAAAAGAGCAATTTTTCACCTGTACCCAAAGTCTGAAAACATATCTAGATAATGGTTTAAATATTATGCTGCTTCTTTAGGGGAAGTCTTGAGCTAGGGCTGAAGCCTCCCTACCCAAGGTTTCCAACCAACTCCTTTGGGGTGAAATGGTGTAACCCTGGCTCCCAATATTCTCAATAAAGCTCAAGAGAAATCACATCTATCTACTGAAATTAACATTAAGACCCTAAAAATAGGTCTGAAAAAATAAGTCAGTGAGTACATTAACTTTAAGGCATCAGGAAAATAAAATGCTATTTATTATGCAGATAGTACAGTTTTTCTGTTTCATACCTGAGTACCCTTCTACCCAGATCTATTTAGAAGGTAAAATATAGCATCTCAAATATTTAATATTTCTAGAACATATTCTTTTGCATGCAGTTAACATCTGTAAAGTGTCTAGAGAACTGTGCCATGTAAATGCTCATTTTTATTTTCTGCATGTTTCAAAATTGAAAAATAAGTAGATATAACTGCTACATTATAAAACAGCTATTCTTAGGAATTCATTTTATTACTTTTTTGCTACTCTTTGTCCAAAAATCTTTTCAAAATTATTTTTCTGATCCATTTACCATCATTGTTGGTTAGACATTATCACAAAGCTTTCTTAAAGAATTCCTTCACTATTTAAGATTTAAAACAAAATTTTTTTTAATGTTTATTTATTTTTGAGAGAGAGAGCAAGCAAGAGAGGGCGAGCAGGGGAGGGGCAGAGAGAAAGGGAGACAGAATCTGAAGCAGCCTCCAGGGCTCTGAGCTGTCAGCACAGAGCCTAACTCAGGGCTCGAACCCAAAAACTGTGAGATTATGACCTGAAGTTGGACACCCAACCAACTGAGCCACCCAGGTGCCCCATAAGATTTCTAAAAAGGATTCAGACTGTGACTGGGGTATCTACTCCCACATAGAACCTGGAGTAAATCTAAAAAGCAGTTACAGCTGAGGGCAGATGCTTCAGGGGCTCAGCCTCATTTCATTGTGGTGCTGTCTTTCTTCTAAAAACTTCTGATGAGGCTCCATTAGCCACAGGATAAAGCAATTAGGCCTCCAAGATCTGCAACAATATGGCTTAACCTGCCTACCCTTCAGGCCACCTTTCCTGCAGCTGTCCTACATCAGGTCGGGTCTTACTAGGGTCATCCCATCTATGGAATCAGGACCCAGCTGAAGATCATTCCCTGCAAGGCTTTCACCAAGTCCCTTTCAGACAGTAAACTTTTTATCAAGTTATTTTTCCTGACCACCTTCATTTCCTCAGAGAGCACAGAATATTCTACTTGGTCAGTAAATACTTGATGACCAAGTCAGAGTGTTAAACTCTGCCCTAGATCTAATAACGGATTTTGGCATTGGCTTGATCTCTCTTCCTTAGTTTTCCTTTCCGTGAAATAAAAGATATTTGATACCAATATTCTAAAGCCTGGAAAATGAGAAGTAACTCATGCCAAATGTGAAATATAAATTTGCTAATATAAAAAAGTGATGGTTTTGTACTTTTTGTAACTCTTTCTCTTAAAAGCCCACCGTCAATATGGAAACTTGAGAATTCCCAGAGCTTAGGTAGAAATGGCATCAGATTAATTTGGGGCAGCTTCTGAGAAATATCCACAGACTGTCCCTCTGGCTACATTATGGTGGTCTGACTCAATAAAACTTGTGCATCTACTGAAAAGGAGAACTTACTAATTTTCCTGTGGGTGTTTCCAGCTGTGGCCGTAGAGCATTTCCGATCCTCTGCAGGAGTTTTCCCCTTTGAAAGCTGAGAATTGAAGGAGGTACAGCACATCAACAGCAGTTCAGAACCTTAAAGTCATGGAACCCCTCATATTAAACGAAAAAAGAAAAGATTGGGAGACAAAAATTACATCAGAAATCGAATAGCAATACTAGAGAAACATCTCAAAAAAAAATAAAGGGGGGAGAGAAGGAGATATAGAAGGTTCCTGAGTAAAAAACCATCAAGGCACAAGGACAAAAAAAATCTCTTTCCAGGTCATCTGCTCTACACACATTCATCTAAAAGGAGGTGTACAGACCTCGGGGATGTTCTTACAGAGGTGACTGGGCTCACTGCAGAGTGCCTGGGCAAGAAGGAACTCACCCTCTTGCTCTGGTTAGAGGGGAACAGGAAGTACTTAAGATTCCCAAAAAGGACGCAGAACGTGACTTCCGATCCACTTCACAGTGTCAAGGCCCATAGCCTGCTGAGGCCTGCCTGAAGGTAGAACTTAACTGGGAATCTGCTTTTTAAAGACCCAAACCATGTGTCCCCAGAGCTAGGAAACAGCAGGCTTAGTTTCAGGATGTGGCAGTTTGGTTTCAGAATTACTGCAGAGGCGGTTAAAAACAGTACCTCATACCTCTGGAAGGGGAAAAAAGGACAAAGTGCTGTTGGTATGGTCATTATTTGGTCTCACAGTGGCTACTTGGAAATCACTGTGCTAATCCTAATGATAAAGTTCTTACAATATCTTTATGCCTTTTCAACTTGCAAAGATATCCAATCAAAGAAAAAAAATTAGGGTGGGAGGGGGCTTTGAACTTTATTGCTCACTGTATTAGCAACTAGAAGACCCAGATTCAAGTCCCCATTCTGCATTTCTAGTTGTAAATTCTAGGGCAAACCATTTAAGCTCTGAGAGAAGATTTTCTCTTCTATAAAACTGAGATAACAGTTATCCTAAGTACCTCATAAAGAGGAAGCAAGGTTTAAAGAGGATTTGAATAAAGGTTATGAACTGTAAAGAGTTTTAATGCCAACAATGATTTTTATTATGATATTAGATTTTATTGACATAATATGATCAAGATGATTCTACTTACCTTAAATAGAATATATAGTATATATAAAAAAATGCCAAAACCATAGATTGGAATAATCTGTCCCATCAGGCCTCTTCCACTACCTCCTCCTCCAGTGCCTCCACCTGATCCTTTGGCCTTGGCAAATGCTTCTGCGAGGTGAGACCTCTGGAAACGAGCCCCAGAGGTCTGGCCATCTGAGGGTGGCTGGTGATGATGCATCATAGGTGGGAATCGACCCAGCTTTCCTGAGAAAATAATCAGTATTTATTTCTTCTACTATTTTAAATATTGCTATTAGGAAAACACCCCATGCACTAAGGCATAAATAACAGAAGCCAACTACAAACACGTTTAAGAAAAAACAGGAACTTGATTATAAGGATATAGAGATATCACACAGAAAATCAACAAGATAGCAGCAATCTCTAGGAGTTCACCCAAACCCATTTTCCCTTCCTTTTTAGGTCTTTAGCTTGGTAACATTTTTTTATAGCTTCCTATATAGTTAAATGAAGCTATGTGATGGAGTTCCAACCAGAGGAATGTGAGTGATATGTGCTGGTTCAAGGCCTGGCCTATAAAACTTTCCATGTACTAAACTCCACTTTCATTTCCCTTCTGCAGGCTCATACTGATACCTAAGGAGACCTATGCAGTCATGTTATGAAATGACAGAGCCTCCATCAATCTAGGTTCATGAATAACTATGTGGCACAGAGCCCTCCATTGCTACCACCCCACCAACTTAGAACCATCTGGACCTGTTTATGGGAGTGAGAAATAAACTTCTATTCTGTTAGGGGCATTATACACTTTGGAGTCTGTCACAGCAGATAGCCACCCCTAACTAATACAGAAAAGGAAATGTGATCTGGTCTCAGAAGAGAGAACTACCCAAACTGGGAAGCGGGAAAGCTCAGGATCTGGGACAGCTACTCTCACATTCCACTTCAATCTCCCTCTTAATGGGGCCATAAGGCTTTTTTTTTCTTTTGTGTTTCTCTGTGCAGATCTTCTTCATTCTCCCTTATGTGGAGACCATTTCTTTAGCTTCTTTGTGAACACAGAGGAAGACAGTAACCCGCAAGCTCCTCAATTTGCAGATCCTTCAAGAGACCAGCACAGACTCATCACAATTCCAAATTCCTTGGAGGAAGATTCTGAATATTCAGCTTGGGTAGGTATGCATCCCTTTCCGTTCAGCTATAACTGAGCAGACATGATTCACAAAAGGTAGCACAAACACGGTCAAATGGTTCTGTTAGTGGAAGCACAGAGCTTGGAGAAAGGAGTGTGCATCAATGTTCTTGCAGTTTTTCCTCCATCAGGGGCCAACATTAACACCAACTGCCAAGCTCCTGAGAGCCACATTTGAGAAAGCAAAGTACTTTCTTCAAAAGGCCGTATAAACAAGCTTGTGTGGAAAACCAATGGGAACTACCACTACAGAGCAGAAAACACTAGAGAGCAGAAAGACTTCATAAATCAGACTGTAAAAATACAAACTAAGAGTGAAATATAGTGAATTTGACTTTAACAAAATTAAAGATTTCTGTTTGAGAAAGAATACCATGAACAGAGTTAAAATAGAAGACACACAAGGAAGACCTTATGCAACATCTAGAATTAATGAGATTAAATAATTAAAACAGACAAGGAATTTCTACAATTTGATATTAAAAAAATCGTAAGAAACCCAATAGAAAGAGCCTAAAGAAAGAGAAGCTTAAAGGATTAGCAAGTAAATAAAGAAATGATTAAATTCCAAGAAAAACCAACGAGTAAAATACAAATTAAAACAATGAGATTGCATTGTTCATATCAATTAGAAGGGCAAAAATTAGAATGGCGGATAACAGCAAATGTTGACAAACATGGTGAAGCAAGAACTCTCATCCTCTGTGTAAGAAGGCAAACTGATCTAGCCATTCAGCTAGTGACATCATGTCTATGTCCTAGGTGATCTAGTGATCCCACTCTGGTGGATAAATTCCAGAGAAATTCTCAAGAAGGATGGTCTATATGCAAATTATAGCCTTTATAGACCTGTGTGAGAATCTGCTGTGATGATCATGTAGCAGGGAGCTTGAAGTAACTCTGATTTTGATAATTAGAAGAATGGAAAATCAAGCCAGAGTGGATACAAATATGGAATTGTATGTAGCTTTTAGAAATCACACTTCAGATGTGCCTATAGCAACATGAACATCTTAAAAAGCACAGAACTGAGTAAAAAAATAAGCAAATACCATTATGAAAGCTGAAGGCATCATAATTATACTACATATGTCCTACATATATACTACATATATAAGTAAATACAAAAGTATAAGGACATAAAACACAGAATGGATACATATGAATGAAGAAGAGAATGGGTATATGGACTGAAGATAAAGAGTTAAAAAGAAAATAATAAGAAAGGAAACTTGCACTCATGATGTTAAAAAGTTGCTATAAATTGCTGACTATCTTTAAGTCAACTGTGCTCCTGAGGTTAGAAAGAAGGTGGGTGGTCAGGTAGGGAGGTAAGACAGCTAGCTACTAGGTTTGAAAGCTGCCTTCTGCCTTGTATCTTTTCTTAGCCTACTCCACTCTAATAATCCTCCTTTCCCTCCCAATACTGACTTTGAAGGACATGGGAATTATGGAAAGAAATGCTTTTTAAGGGTAGGTCAGCAACAGAAGCAGAGCTTCAGACAGTAGAAGGAAACCAAGTCAACACTCCTTATTCTGACTGCTATTGACTATGTAGCTGTTAAATGGTCAAGGATTTTAATATATTAAGTGGTGAGTAATGGCTTTAAGGTTATAATACACCTTCAAAAAATGCCTAGCCAGTATTCAAGAAGCTAACTGTCCTCTTGAGAAAATGTGATATATCAGATGGCCTAGTGTTCAATATGCTAGATTTAGTAACTGGAGTATATGTTGTTGAACTTTATTTTACCATACTAAGAACACAGGCTTCAAAACTTGATATAAAGCAAAAAAAAAAAAAGTTAAAAATTAAATCAGGTAACGGCAACAAAAGGCATTATTTTGCATTTCTAAAATTGAAAAATGATGACAATGCTGAACACTGTACATCTCTTCCCCAAATTTTTATAGTCTGTCAGCCAGGAAGATACTATTACTGGACAGCTATTATGTTCAGGACTCTGTGCTGTAGGTAGGAGAGAGCCATAAATATAATAGAAACAATAGTTGCACACTGAACAATGCTTTTAAAAAGTAGTATATTCAAAACAAATAAACACCACCACGAAAGGACAGGCTATCCTGGGCTTGTTACTAGGCAAACTAAATGTCTAAGCATTAAAAGAATGCAAAAAGAAAAAAGAAAAAGGGGGAAAATGGGATCACTGAAGAGAATGAGACACAGAACAGCAGAGAGGCAAAGGCATGCCAGGTGGAAAGAAGAACATCTGCAACAAGATGCTGAGAGAGAACAAGTAAGAACAAAGAATAAATAAGGCCAACTACCAAATTAGTTTGGCTCCACTTGGGGAAGTAACAAGAGATAACAGGGAAGTGGAGGAGGAGGGTTGAAATGCCAACCTGTGGTGTATAAATTTGATAGTATGGGTCTAAGATCAGGGAAATGACTTAATGAGAAGGGAGTCTGAAAGGGATTGAATCTAGCATTTGAGTACAGGGGCTAATGCAGAGAGAAGCCAGGGTGTGAGAAATCAGCAAGAAGACTACTGGTATAGCAGCAGCCTGAGGTGCTGGCTATAGCTATAAAGAGGAAGGAATAGATCTCAGGGCTCTTAGCATGAAGTGATCAACATTTAATACTGAAAAGAACATAAAGCTAATGAGGGAAGAGGTCAGAAATATGAAGAGAAGATAATGAAAACCATGGTGAGCTTATGACAAGGGGAAGATTGGGTACACATTTTTCACACACTAAGTTCCAGGTGTTGATGGCACATTCAAAGGAAATTGTTATTAGACTACAGTTAGGCTTGAGAAGAACCTCTAAGCTACTAACTAAATGAAAAAGCGAATTAAAACATTAAGGGAGTGAACTATTCCCATATTAAAAGTGTTGGTGGGATAGGTATACTTACGTGCAAAAAGAGGAAGAAAAACGGAGCTGTCAAGAAGACCAGAAGCAAACCAGTCTCCTTACAAAAATCATCATCATCATCATCATCATCATCATCATCATCAAAGAAGGACAACTGAGAATTCTGGAAGAAACTGCTAAAAGACTAATAATGACAACCCCTGTTTTGAGACACAATGTATCCTTGGGAGAAAGGATGGCCACCATATGAAATCTTGACTGTCCACCTATTTAGAAAATAACAGAAAACCAAAATACTACAAAGCATCATACAATCTGCAGAGTCAGAAGGAGGCTTAAAAATCATCCAGTCTTTGAACAAATGGTATGGAGACAACTAGATATCCACATGCAAAAAAGGAAAGGGGGACCTCTACTTCACACTATTTTTAAAAATTAACTCAAAATTGATTAAACACCTAACTGTAGGAAAACTATACAACTCTTAGAAGAAAACACAGACCTAATTCTTTGTGACCTTGAATTAGGCAATGATTTCTTAGGAGACCAAAATCACAAGCAAACAAAGAAAAAATAGGCAAACTGGACTTCATCAATTTAAAACTTTTGTGCTACAAAGGATACCTTCAAAAAAGTAAAGACAAGGGGCGCCTGGGTGGCTTAGTCGGTTAAGCGTCCGACTTTCGCTTAGGTCATGATCTCACGGTTCGTGGGTTCGAGCCCCGCGTCGGGCTCTGTGCTGACTGCCAGCTCAGAGCCTGGAGCCTGTTTCAGTCTGTAACTCCCTCTCTCTCTGACCCTCCCCTGCTCACTCTCTCTCTCTAGAAATAAATTAAAAAAAAAATTAAAAAAAAAAAAAAGTAAAGACAAAACACTGAATAGGAACAAATATTTGTGAATCACAGATCTGATAAGCTTCTAGTATCCAAAATACATAAAGAACTCTTAACACTCAACAACAAATAATCCAATTAAAAATGGTCAAAGGCTCTTTCTCCAAAGAAAAGATCTAGAAATGGCAAATAAGCACACAAAAAGATGTTCAACACCACTAGCCATCAAGGAACTCCAAATTAAACCCACAATGAGATACACTCAGTTGGTTAAGTGTGACTTTTGGCTCAGGTCATGATGTCATAGTTTGCGGGTTTAAGTCCTGCATTGGGCTCTGTGTGACAGCTCAGAGCCTGAAGTCTGCTTGGGATTCTG